TCTGCACTGCAGACAGTACTACATGAAATACATACAACAGTCATCTAACTAATCATGTCTAACACTGGACAGTCAAAGTTATATTTGTACATTTACATTTTCTTTTAGAGTTCCAATCCATATGTGCCTTAGTCAGGCTTCTCTTTTCTGTATCCTTTTGTGTCTAAGTGGCACTTACGAAAATAAAGACCTGCTTTCCTACTTAGACCTGAGTAGTGTGTTTTCAATCTGTATTAGTTCAAAAGGTATGGATCATTAAATTGTAACTGGATGTATTATGTACTGCATGTTTGCTACATTGTCAGTTGAGCTCAAATACCCCTTAATCTGCACCACTGTTATATGTAGTCTATAAACTGAAAGTAGTTGAAGATATGAAAGCTAATTGTAGAGTGGATATAGTTTAGAATATTTTTCATAAAACGAATATGCAGCCAAATATCTATTACTTTAAGCTACATTTTTATGGAGCTATTTCAGGGTCATAAGTTTTGATCATTCAAAAAAATAAAATGTATTTGAAAGTTCAAGTTTTTATCCTGAACTTTGAAAAATACAATGATGTATTCAAAATAAAAATAATTATTTGAAGTAATTTTTCAGGTTGAATATTATTTGGATTCAGGTCAGCAATTTTTTTTAATAAAATATTTATTTCAGATTTCACTTTTATACATATTTTGATATTTGAATCCTTGTTTTTTTCAGTTGCAGATTTTTCGTTTTCAGATTCAAAACTTGTTTTTTCAGGTTTCAAATTGCTTTTCACCTTCAGATCGTTTTTCGCTTTCAGATCTTTTGCATGGGAGCCTGCCTGCAGACCTCCACTCTCAGGACACCTCCACTGTCAGTACAGGAAGTGACTATTCTGACGCGTTTTTTCCCCCGCCCATCAATGGACTCATTTGATGGAAGTTTTCAAATCACAATGGAGACTCATCACGGAGGTGATGAGTCCGCCCACCGTGCACTTTGGGTCGGCCTTGGTCAAGCCCTTTTGACCCCCCCAGCCTGGTTCTCGTAAAAGTTTTTCGCTCAAATGACACCATGGAGGAATGTAACGGGAGTTGACAGGGGACTCTGCCCGCCTCACGAGTGCCTATTTTCGGACACTTTTTTTCACTTTTCCCCGGTTTTATTATTTTAATTTTTTTTGGCTATTTCACCCGGTTTCTACCGGGGACATTGCCCTCGGGTGTCCCCCCACGGCCTGTGTCCAACATATGTATATAATAAGTGTCAAGATCTATGGTCAAGATCTGTCACGATCCGATTTTATTTTGTATTTGCGTGCATTTCCTGTTTGGAAAGTGGCACTGTACTGATAGTGGTGATTTTATTTTGGAATTCTTAGCTTGCACTTCCTGTCCTGAGAGTGGAGGTGTCCTGAGAGTGGAGGTCTGCACCGGAACTGTCCTGAGAGTGGAGGTCTGCAGGCAGACCCCTCTCGACTTTTGACCCTGGGTCCTTCTCACTTCGGTTAAATGGATTCCTTGCGTCCCTCACTTGCGTCGTTTCCCTGCGTCTAGTCCCTCCCACCAGGGAAGCATGGAGGGACGCAAGGGCTGCTTCTCAGGTCGACTATTTTCATTTCTTCGGTCCTCGGTCTCACCGGAAGTTGATTTGCCTGCGCCATCTTGAGTACCGTCCCATGGCTCTTATTTCTGCCGGAGGACCGAGGATCGAGGAGCGAGGAGCGATAACCGAGGAACCACCAGACCCTCCTCCGATGAAATCCTCAGATACTCACTCCGCCCCCTTACTGTGTATCGCTCACTGATTGGACGAGGCAGTGCATGCACTGATCTGATGCTTCTTGACATGAGAGCAGAGTGAAGAAAATACATGAACCTCACGGGAGTCACTCCTCAGTTTATACCGTGTTTTGTTTCAATTCATGTATCATTTAGTTACAAATATGTGATATATCTGAACAACAAAGTGGTCAAAAATCATTTAATTCATTTTTTGGAAACATTTTCATGATCGCTTTTTTCGTTTCCATTCAGTCAGTCATTAAGTGCTATTAAAATGTTAATATGCTACATATCCACACAAACACACAAAGTGTGCAATCCAATGAATGTTAATCCAACTGGGTTTTGATAGATAACATATCTCTTTTTCTTCTCTCAATTATTTTATTTCTATTGTGCACTCTAATCAATATTAATCAAACTATTGTTCGTTTATACATTTTAAGAATGGCGTTTATCTTTTTTGAGAATGAGTTCTTATTTTATTTTATTTATTGGGGTCTACAACAGATGATACAAATGTTTGTGTCAGTAAATGTGTACTAACAGAGGCGGGGGGGTGTGTGGAAATAACGGGGACATGAGCTGCTGTCAGACGATCAGCTGTGCAGCGTCATCACAAACGGACGTCGCTTCACGTGACGCTCCGGAGGAAAGGACGTCTCATTTCTCTTAAAACTCATTTCCCTGCTTCTCGTGGTTTCCTTGCGTCTCTCCATGCTTCCCTGGTGGGAGAGACGCAGGGAAACGACGCAAGTGAGGGAAGCAAGGATTTCATTTAATCGACCTGAGAAGCAGCCAAGGAAACCACGAGAAGCAGGGAAATTAGTTTTAAGAGCAATGGGACGTCCTTTCCTCCGGAGCGTCACGTGAAGCGACGTCCGTTTGTGATGACGCTGCACAGCTGATCGTCTGACAGCAGCTCTGTTCCCGTTATTTCCACAAACACCCCCGCCTCTGTTAGTACACATTTACTGACACAAACATTTGTATCTGTTGTAGACCCAAATAAATAAAAATAAAATAAGAGCTAATTCTCAAAAAAGATAAACGCCATTCTTAAAATGTATAAACGAACAATAGTTTGATTAATATTGATTAGAGTGCACAATAGAAATAAAATAATTGAGAGAAGAAAAAGAGATATGTTATCTATCAAAACCCAGTTAGATTAACATTCATTGGATTGCACACTTTGTGTGTTTGTGTGGATATGTAGCATATTAACATTTAAATAGCACTTAATGACTGACTGAATGGAAATGACAATAAATGAAAATGTAAAACGAAAAAAGCGATCATGAAAATGTTTCCAAAAAATGAATAAAATGATTTTTGACCACTTTGTTGCTCAGATATATGATCACATATTTATATCTAAATGATACATTAATTGAAACAAAACACGGGATAGACTGAGGAGTGACTCCCGTGAGGTTCATGTATTTTCTTCACTCCGCTGGGAAACTGCTCTCATGTCAAGAAGCATCAGATCAGTGCATGCGCTGCATCGTCCAATCAGTGAGCGATACACAGTAAGGGGCTGGGCGAGTGTCTGAGGATTTCATCGGAGGATGGTCTGGTGGTTCCTCGGTTATCGCTCCTCTATTATCGCTCCTCGATCCTCGGTCCTCCGGCAAAAATAAGGCCATTGGGACGCTACTCAAGATGGCGCAGACAAATCAACTTCCGGTGAGACCGAGGAGCGAGGAAATGAAAAATAAGAGAAGTGAGAAGGGCCCCCTGATGTTGCTTGGGGGGGGGGGGGGCGGGGCTTAGCAAAGAGTAGTTTGGCATCCTGAGTGGCAGGTTGGTGGCAGGCCTCCCTCTGTCATGTTGCCTTCATGGATGTTAGGTAGCGCGAGAAATATAACTCAATACTTTCTACACGATACTCCCGTGATTGGTGGTAAACTGATACCAGCGTCAAAGTTCCGTTAAGTGAGCTGTTGAGCATCGTAGTTGGCAACAATCAAGGTATAAGAGCAATAAACTGTGCTAGAATGTGAAATTACGTATCCGCAATCAAGCATTGTCTTTCCCCATTTCCTCCGCTGCAGAAAGGAAGGACCTGCGGTATCTCCGTGAGACAGCGGGGGATGGCGTCAGGTCCACTAGAACAACCTGCTGGCTCGTTGAGGATACGTAATTTCACATTCTCGCACAGTTTATTGCTCTTATACCTTGATATTTGCCAACAGCTCACTTAACGGAACTTTGACGCTGATATCAGTTTTGTTTACCACCAATCACGGGAGTATTGTGTATAGAAAGTATTGAGTTATATTTCTCGCGCTACCTAACATCCATGAAGGCAACATGACAGAGGGAGGCCTGTCACTCAGGAAGCCAAACTACTCTTTGCTAAGCCCCGCCCCCTCAAGCAACATCAGGGTCAAAAGTTTGAAAGCGAAAAAAAAAGATCTGAAAGCGAAAAAAAGATCTGAAAGTGAAAAACGATCTGAAGGTGAAAAGCAATGTGAAACCTGAAAAAACAAGTTTTGAATCTGAAAACGAAAAATCTGCAACTGAAAAAAATAAGGATTCAAATATCAAAATATGTATAAAAGTGAAATCTGAAAATAAATATTTTATTTAAAAAAATTGCTGAACTGAATCAAAATAATATTCAACCTGAAAAATTATTTCAAAAACTTATTTTTATTTTAATACATCATTGTATTTTTCAAAGTTCAGGATAAAAACTTGAACTTTCAAGTATTTTTTTTGAATGATCAAAACTTATGACCCTGAAATAGCTCCATACATTTTAGCTAGTTTTACCATAAGTATTAGCTAACTCAACTTTTACTGAAAATAACTGAAAAAGCATGTCGAAATATGAGAAAACACGATAAAGTATGGTATGTAATGCATGAGGAAAAAAAACACCTACTATACGTCGAAAAGATCAGAAAAAAAAGACATGGTATAGTATGTCAAAAATATGCCAAAAAACGACAGCATGGTAAACAAAATATGATAAACGACAATATTGTATGTCGAAAATATGATTTAAAAAAACGACGTTGTGTAGGCTATATAAAAACCGAGTCATGTCGAAATGATCAGAACAATTTACATATATGTCAAAAAGTTCAAGAGTAAACATGTCATAGTAGTTTGTCGAACATTTCAGAAAAGGTGAGTAACGTATGGTGCAGCAGTTTCACTTACAGTACTGAACCAGCAGAGGGCAGTCTAACAACACACGCGTCATCAAAGAAAGACAGCACTTCACAGTTTCTTTAACCAACTTCGTTTATTTTCTCCCAAATTTTTCTAAAAGTGGCCTATTCCATGTCTTCCTTTCACCTGCCAAATATTCATCTCATCAGTGAAATTCATAAAAAGAAGTTACAGCCATGCTAGTTACTACAGGAATCAACATTTACTCTGTAGATTCTGTGGTTTTAGCATATAGGCAGAAAAAAGAAACACTATAGATGTTTAAAAAAATACAGTTGGGTTCCAAATCAAAATACCATGCAGGACAAAATGTGGCACATTTCAAGTCAAATGCCATTAATAAAGTATTCAAAATTACATCATGGCTTTAAATCAGCTCCTAGAAAAAAGGACACTTTTAAAAAACCATACTTAGATTTATTTTAGACCCCGTTTCTTGAGAGGAGCATGGCGGACAGCCTCAAAATGTTCTAATTTGGAACAAATAACACTAGAGATGGGAGAGCCCGACCTGGCAGTCACTAAATGTATCTATCAAATAACTTTGAGTAAATCTGATACATTTAAAATATGACTGTTCAGTTATTGATTGCTCTCCCATCTCTATCTGACACCTTGCAATAAATACTTTGATAAACAGCGTTTGTTCATTATGACATCAAGAAATACTTGTTTTTAAATGTTAGTTTTTTTTCAGGAGACATCTAAGGGAAGACTTATCTCATATTCTAATAAAAAAAGATTTTAAGAAACATGCGCCGCATAAACACACCTGCTGAATCCACAGAAAAGGACTGAGCTCAAGAAGACGTTATTTCATCTACTGAGATATAAAATGATAAACAAGTAATTCGGAGCATTCCAATAATGCCGTCCAAACTAAACTTAGGGTTTAATATTTGGCCTTGACATTTTTTAATAATGGGACAAGGCTATGGATTCAGCAAATGCCTTCAGCAGTCTTCAACCGAGTTGTAACCAGGGTTCAATAGAGAAGAAGAGGATTCACAGGCAGATGCTACAGCTGCGAGAGAAGCATTCAGTCTCCTTTCACACACACATGCACGCCAACACAAACACACACACACACACACTCACACTCACGCAGTCACAGATGGGCAAAGGTAAAGCTGTAGCCCTCCCAACCTGAGAAAATGATTGTCGAGCATGCAAACAGCATACAGTTTTAGTTCATTTTTACAAAGTAAGAAAATTAGCCCAAGGGGATGGTCTGATTCAGAATGGCCTTGATACATTTCCAATACAGAGAGACGGAATTACAGCAATACATCTGGAGAAGAACTAAAAGAAGGAGTTAAAAGAAGAGTTGTTTTTTTTTACCAAAAGAAAACCCTGTTTAAAAAGGTCTGGTTGTGTACGCTTTTCCAACTAAAATTATTGATCACATGGCCACGCTAAAATACAAAAAAAGATAAAAGTAAAATCAACAATAACAATGAAAGTAGTGCTATGGTTTTATACATATAATACACAAGTTAACAGTGATCTCTAGACGTTATTATCCATAGACTTGTCTTATGAGCACAAGGTGCTAGGTCACAGTGGGTTTCACATTAGTTAACACTTTAGAATGCTAATGCTAGTTATACTCATTTACCACTAGGGGGGGTGCAATACATGTGACAGGAGCTAGGGGGTCTCTAAAGGAGGTACTATCAAAGATGTATCTGAAGATACCGCAATCGTGTTGCCTTCACATCCATGGCTAGACACTTTATTGTCTGTGCTTGAAACCATGTCTTATCGTTAACTTAATGTAGCACAGCTATGCTCTGAAGAACGAAAAAATTGTGTTGATGGCTTTTACAGAGAGAGATCGTTGTGTGGCCTTCAAATCAACGAAGAAAATCGGTGAAACTAGCTGCAGACGCTTCATAAGCTCTGAGATAAAGACAGTTGTGCATGTGGATAACAGGCTAACAGGTCTGAGCCAGTCAATAGAGAGCGTCTGTCGGAGGAATGCTGGGTTCTGTAGGCAGTAGGGGAGCACGGCATGATGGGTTGTGTAGGCGCAGGTGTTTTCAGGTGAGTACTGTAAATCTCTCTCTCTGGTTCTCTTTCTGTTGCCATGCTACAGCGGCCCTTTGAACTGGTTCCCAGAGAGGTGCTGTCTGATGGACAGCTTTGATCCTGCTGCATCACCCAGCTTTCTCCACACCACCTGCAACAGGAAGAGGAGGGAGACGTTGAGAGAGGAAGAGTGGGAGAAACAGACACTGAAAGAGTAAGAGAAAAAAGAAAAAAAAAGGACTGTCTTTCTCTAGAGTGAACTCTTCAAATGCTCACAGTTTGACTTTGAGCTGCACACGCACACATATTTCAGTATCTCTGTCCTCTATCTCTGTGAGATCTCTCTGCCAGTGAGTGGGGGCCCCCCGGGGGACCCTAGGATATTACAGAGGTGCTATTGTAATGCTCCCCAGATTCCTGGCCTGTCACATACCTCTGCAGGGCCCAGATAGCCTTTTTTCTCTCTAATCAGCGGACCTTTTTTATCCCGGGTCGGGCCTTTCAGCACCCATAGAGAAAGATGGAGGGAGATGAAGGGGGGAAGAGAGGAAGAATGGAGGGGGGAGTTCTTTTTTCCCCCCGCCGCTCCAGTTTAATTGCTCTGACAGCTCAACGACGAGCCTTTACTCACGGCTTCCAGTTAAGAGTTGGCTTCGGAGCAGGGGTGATGGAGGGAGGGGGGATGGAGAGATAGATAGAAAGAAAAGCAAGAGTGCCCGGGACACTGCTGCATGTCATTCCAAACCAAACGCGTCCACACGAGGCTCCCTCATTAGTGAAAGCAGCTCAAAACCTGACCTGATTTGCACCCAGCAGAGGAGAACTGTGTAACTGAGGGACAGAGGCACAGAAAGAGCTGGAACATTGTGAAGTGTTGCACTTACGTTGCACATCTCTCGCACAATGGCCTTCTCTTTCTCACTGAGGTCGTCCTCGTAGTCCTCGGGGACCTGCTTGTCCAAGTTCTCGTGGACCTCCAGCACCTGGGGGAGAAATGACAGATTAGTCATGTGACAATCAAAACATCAGAATTCCGAGATTCCCGGACTTGTATTCCTTGGAAGCTGTTCATGTGTTTTTTTTCAATAATACTATGACACTTAACCCCTGAAATGATAACTTGTACGTCAATTGCTCACTAACCCCGTGTGACCTAAAATTATAGAACTAGGTCAGTTTAGATGGAATAGATAATTGAGACAAAGCTGATACTGAATGAGTTGTGTGAAAGTAAACAGATGTCTTCTTTCACTAAGGAGATAAGCAAAAAAGCTACATTTTATTCAATGTAGCTTGGGATGCAAAAGTGTTCATTTTCCGATAAACAAAATGATAGTACACAGCAATAAGTGGGGCTGAAATCAACATGGAACAGGGCTTTCGACTAGTGGGATGGTGATGGTGAAAAAAGAAAAATCCTAGCAACAATCACCCTAAAATGTTATGTATGTACCTTCATGGCATGGACCACTGCTTCAGGCTTCTGGGCGCAGGACAGGTAACCTGTGGCGGGAGAGGACTCACTGGTGGGGAGACGCCCGGTACCCTGGGGGGGGAGAAGAGGGAGGAGGAAAATTAGGGTTGTTTTTCATTTCTTTCAGTGCACAGCAATAAGAGGTGACAAAGATTTAAAGGTCCCATGTCATGGCCATTTCTACTGATCATAATTCCATTGTTGAGGTCTACTAGAATAGATTTACATTGTTCAATGTTCCAAACTCACATTGGTTTCTCATACAGCATCTCTGTATAGTATGTGTATTCACTCTCTGTCCTAAACGGCTTGTTGGAGCTCCAACGAGGCGTTCTGGGGCAGCACAGACAGGTCTTTTCTGTGTTAGAGTTGTACTCCCTACAGGGTGTACTTTGAGGGTTTGTGACTCTGCAGACCGTTTACATGCAGAAAAACCTTCATAACACACGGACGGGTAATAACCGGAAAAGCATGACATGGGCCCTTTAAAGCAAGAACTTCTGGTGGACAGGTCCAACTCCTGTATAGCCCCAAAATTGAGCACCACTTTATTTGTGAAGCTCCAAAACAGAAAATAAACCCCTCTCTCCTTCTCAGTGGGTGTTTGGTTCTGATTTACCACGAGGGATTTCTTGTACTGCAGCAGTGAAAATGTCATCCCTTTCATCCCAGTTCATATCACCTGCCCTCCCCTTGTGTTTATCTTCCCTTTCACTACGCATCGACTCGCAGCCAGGTCTGCTACCTGCACAGTGTGATGTTAACCCGCTGTGATGGGAGCAGCCAGCCAGGCAAGAGGACCCGGGTCCCGCTCCACTCATCCCAACCCCCCGGTTAGTTCCAGACAGTGGCTCTCTGTTAGAGGGACACAGAGATCTCCGGGACACACAATGGCACTATTCACTGTAACCTGGCATCGGGGCCCTGCATTAGACACAGCTCTGTGGCTCTGTTAGCCAGGGTTCAGTTCTCTGCTCGCTGCTGATGCGTTTGTCAGATCCCTCCGCACCCGCTGTCCCCTTTTTAGGTGCCAGAATGAGCCCACACAACCGAAAGGCACAGAGATAAAATAATAATCCCACTGAGGCCAAAAGGGATGTTTGGTGGAAACTTCCCAACAGTCTATTCCTATCACAATAATCACAAAAGAGAAGTTGTTTTGTTGCTCTCACAGGTTATGAGAGCAACTGTTAGATGACATTTTTCTTTCAGCTAGGGAATCAATATGCTTGAACTGTGAGGAAAAAAGCTGTGGTTCTGCTCTTTTGTTTTTAGGTCAAAAAGAAAAGTCAAACATGCCCTAACAATATGGAGATGAGAGTCGCCTGCCATAAGGTATTGCATTCATGAGCTTTGATTTCAAAATCATGGACAAAATAAAAAAGGTTAATATTAATTTGTTGTTCTTTGTATTAAATATGTTGCCGTTCTGCAGCAGGCTCAAATTTCAAAATATGTGCAACCTATGCAGGGCCGCCCCTGGCCAACTTGTGAAGATGAGCCCCCCCCCCCCCCCCAACGGACAGGAGTGAAAAAAAAAGTTATGGAAACAAAGTAGGCTACTTTGCAAATATAATTCCTGTTTATTATTAATATTATCAACACAGTTACTTTTTTATACAGTGAGGTAAATGTGCATGTATGTCGTTCAGTATGCGTGTACAGGTGAATACGTTTCCTGCCAAATACTAGCCTCAAAAAGATTAAAATATAATTAATGCAAATAAACTACTTCTACTAATAATAATCATAATCATCCATCAGTAATAATAGGACACTATTTTAACATATTTTAATTTATCCAATTCAACATTGACAGGGGATATGTATTGCTGCTGCACACTTCATACTGTTAAAAGTGCATTTGCTGTCAGATTTTGAATGCAGGGTTAGGGTGGTGTGTATAACTGCTTTTATAAACAGTACTGTAATACAAGTATTATAGTATGTTTTTCAATACTGGTGTTACATAAACATCTCATGGTTTGATCCCACTTGCAAGAGCATCATTATGCAGAAGAAAAAAACGTAAACATTAACTTATTTGTATTCTTGAGTTTCAAAAGAAGTGGCTGACTGACAGGTGAACATTAACCAAACATCTTAGATGGAAAAACGGTCTGCAGGATAAAACATGCAAAACCACTGGCAAGTTCCTTGAGAAACATGGAGTTATACGTGCACATCCTCACAATTAAACTGTCAATGTGTAATCAAGGTTAAGTCCACGTGTATGAGTACATTTAAAACAAACATTTCCCTCTGAGTGAAATGAGTTACTTCTTGTTAAAGGTCACAGCAACAAAGTGACAGCTTAATTTTCCATACTGCTCATTTTTCACTGGACTTTGAAGTCAAGCAAAAAAAATATGTAAATCATCACTGTCGCCTTCTTTTGATGCTCTCTACTGTGGCTATTATTTGAAATGTGTAAACACTTCCTGGCGGCAATCGGGGCCAGGTTTTTTTGTTGTTTATTTTGTGCTGGAGCTCAGCAGGGAAACCGATTTGGACAGCGCGGAGACACAGCCAGCTCCGGGCCATGTTTACTGTTCATATGGATGTAGTCGGGGATGGCTCGGTTGCATAAACAGGCCTGATTTAGGCCTTGCATGATGAGGAGGGAAAACAAATGCTGTCAGAATCGATGGTTTGTGGTTGGAGAATAGAGAATCAGAGCCGACTGCTGAGTGTTTGTGAGAATCACGCATGCTGCCCGCTTCCTTTCTCTATCCATCTTTTCTCCTCTTCTTTTCTTTCTATCTGACACCGTCACGCACAATCACTGACCTGAAACTGGGCCTGAGTGAGACAAAGGACTAAATCGAAAGGATGAGCTGATCGATTAGGAAGGGTACACACAACGACGAGTCCAGCTCACTGAAGTTCTGCCGTTTCAGTCTCCCACAACTCTCATCTCCTATTTCTCTCCCTCTCCATCTCCCAACAAGGGCCTTCTCTCACATGAAGATGAAATTGGGGCTGCATTAGAGAGCAGGCTATCGATTACCATACAACTCAACATTAGTGTGTCTCTGCGGAAATGTCACGACAAGAAAGACATTATGAGGAGGGGACAAGAACCGCATGAATCGCAAGAATAAGTTGTCTCAGAGCAACAACAGTATCTTATTCTGTGCTTGCTGAAGTCTATTCTGGTAGCCCAGCAACCTCATGGCAACGCTAATAAATAGTCCTGCATTTATCCCCCCCCCCCCCCCCAAAAAAAACTATTTGTAATCTTGTGTACTTTGGCTTTGTACTTACATATGTAGTAGTAGCAGTATGTAAGATATAAAGGAGCTTTCAGATCAATTTTGACACATTTGCAGCTAGCTAAGCTAACCGCTGGCTGAAGGTTTATATTTACCTTTATTTATTATATGTATCAATATTCTCATCTAAAATACTTGCTGTTAAGATTTTGTCGATGTAAATATGACATTTGAATTTATTTATGAATACGGAGACATATGCTTTTCCAAGAGTTAGAAAACTCAGGCGGCCTAAAGTTAGCGGCAAAAATAGCCAAATAACAGACCTTTTGTCATTTAATTTGAAGTTAGCATTATGTTCCGTAGTTGGAGGTATATTATCTATTTTGTGAAATATAGTTTTAAATCTCGCTAGTTTATACCATTAAACTATATTTATATTTGACCTCCCATTCATTCTAAACTGGACATGTGTTAGCAGCTGACGTCAGCTCTGATATCTAGTTCAGCTTGTTTCAACAGCAAGAAAAACGGTTCCAGAGCGGCATTCAATGTCATGTCAGCAAGGACCAAAAATACACACCTCGAGTCAATATCATGACCTTGTATGTCTTCCAAACTGTGAAATTAAAATAAAAAGACAACCATCAAGATAATTTGCAGTTTAAATCCATCGCCCTGCAGGGAGAGACCTCTCGCAGGGTCACGGTTTCATGGACATTAGTGAACCTCCGTGAAGAGGCAGTTTTTACCCACAAGCTTAGAAAGGTGCCAACGCACTCAGCCTGTGACCTCACACTGGGCCTGTGATTAAAACACAATATTGATTTTTACACGCAAAGATTTAGTCCTCTGGTTAGTGGCGTAGCCCGGCTCTGACCTCCCCTAAGCAGTCAGAAAACAATTACCCAGCCTCTCCTCCCCAGACACTGGCTGGGTCAGGGGTGGCACTGGATTGTGGAGGATTATTACTTTCATAGTGGGATTCAGTTCAAACAGACCCCGGGGGAGGAGGAAGGGGACAGGATATGAGAGGAAGACAAGAGAAGGCTGACTCCTCTTTATTTTCTCGCTGTCTTAGTCTCCCTCCTTCCTCTTTGTAACCTCCCCCTCACTCCCTACCTCCTTACACTCCACTGTTTTTCTTCCTGCGTATGTGTGCGCTTCACTTCCTGTCATGTGTAAGAGAGCGTGAGGTCGCCTGTGGAGGTATAATTGGAGTTAAAAGTAAAGTGGATTAGAGCTGACTTTACTTTATTCCACTGTGGAGGCACCCTACAATTAGGTGTGTGTGTGTGTGTGTGTGTGTGTGTGTGTGTGTGTGTGTGTGTGTGTGTGTGTGTGTGGTTGTATAAGCAATGTTGGGCTTTGGCTATGACTGTTATGTTATGAATTGGTGTCTCTATGTGCGTCAATGTGAATACTCGCGTACATTTGTCAGTGTGTGTGTGTGAGAGTGTGTATGTGCGAGTTGGCCTTCTGGGTACTGACCATGTGCATGGCGTCCTGGCGTTGGGGCAGTGAGGATAGCTGGGACTCTGAGTGGTAGAGGGTCATTCCCTTCCTCAGGGCACGAAGGTCACCTGGGTTGCACTGCTGAGCAAAAAACAAACACACCAAAAAAACAGATATAAAGGTTCAGTGCCATGTCATCTCAAAATTATTTAGCTTCACTGCAAAAAATGTAATCCAAAACCGAAAATAAAATCCAAATGTGATAACATCAGCAATACAATGCATATAGTATCTACTTTGGACAAAGATATACTATAGTTCCCGAAATCACAATCTTCCAAAATGTAATTAAGACTCAATTTGTTTCAGGGGCCTGTGATTGATTTGAAACAAACTATCATAAGCGTTTTTTTAACACAATCCTTTACATTAATATCAACTCTCAAAGAAGCATGACATGATTTGAAAATAGTATTATTGGGCTCTTCCAGACAGTTAACAAAAAAACGAACTAACTCTTCTTTAAAAAAAGATTGTTGTACTTTTAAACAGCTGGTGTACTTTTGAGGGTAAGCCCCCATGTCTTCCCGTTTACATCGATATTATTGGAATCATCGATCATTACATCAATATATATCGATCCAGATTGACGGATATGATCGAGTTATGTATTGAGCATCTCATTTAAAAAATAACCTTGTCACTGCCCTTGTTTTTTGTTAGTTGACGAGAGACTCCATCTACGAGATTTTAAGCCATGGATCGATTGCAGATTCTACATTATTTAGTCAGTCCCTGCCCGGTAGCTAACGCTAACTAGCCAGCTGTCTTTAACATATCCACGCTGATGTCCTGTCAACACATACAGTGCAGATTAATTAAAGTGCTCTAAGCCAGGGGTTCCCAACCTTTTTCCCCGAGAGCCCCCCCAAATGACTCCTGTTGGAAGTTGCGCCCCCCCACCCCACACACACAAGGGGGGGGGGGTGCAACAGCGGTAATTGACGTTTAAAAGTCTCAAAAATGCTACAACTACTGTCACAAACTGGATGAATGTGAAGTATTTTGTTAAAGGAGGATGAAAGCGTAATTAAGGAGCACTATTGTTGTGATGGTTATTGGACTCAGGATTAATTCATTTGGATTCCCGCTGTACAGCGCAAATGGAAACAATTCACAAAGGGATTAAACTGTTTAAAACACATGCTCAAAGTAAGCCGAATTTTGCCGATGTGTTTATGTGGATTCAAAAGTAAATAATCTACAAAATGGAGGAGACCGATCTGATCGGAGCAACTGTGACAAATAATCCAACTGAAACCGGCATGGACAATGACTATGTTTTTAAAAAGACGCTTATCCAGAAAAGCCCGGTTTGGACACTTTACAGGCAGAAGAAACATTTCTATTAAAGAAAGAATTATACATTTCTGTCTTTTTATCCCTTTAATAGCTACTAACTTGAATTTTTATTCAAATGAATTAATCAATTATTTTGTATACGTTTATTGTAATGTATACAATCATGTATTGTGTAACAATTATATGTAAAAAAATAAAAGTAAAAAATTATAAATAAAAAAAGTCTCAATATGATATTAGGCCTCAAATCATCTGAGGCCTGGCGCACCCCTTGCGATTTTTGGCGCCCCCCCCCCCAAAGGGGGCGTGCCCCCCAGGTTGGGAACCACTGCTCTAAGCGATGTGGGTGCCCTGTACTTAGTTCAAGCATCTGGCATTGACAGTCCATTGCAAGTGTTGCAGGTCTGTTATTATTCCGGCTCAACCTGTTTTGCTCACGTAAACCCAAAAATGCATAGATAAGCCACATTTTTGCGGTTTTGCTAAAGAAAGTCCTCGATGCACTACTTTTTCAATCAAGAAATGTGTTAATGGCAGAAAACACTGTAGCTCACTTGTGATGGAGATGAATTTCTAAGGACAAATTCTTGATGCAATGCATTGCCATTTGTTTTTTACAGATAAGAATCAATCTGGACAGTTGGTGTACTGTCAATGCAATCCGTGCCAATATCCAGCCCTAAAACATATACAGCCAAGGTATCTATGATAACCCTCAACATCACAATATATATATATATATATATATATATATACATGTGGCTCAGGCTCTACTATATTGAGAGTCTTGGTGATGATTTATTAAGGATCCATAGGTTCTTCCACCTCCTACCCCTCCTACACTGACACCGGCACTCATTGTCGATGCTGGCTGTATCCACGTACTTCATTTGCAAAGCTGATTTTGAAATTGTTGAGGCTTGCTCCAAAAATGGCCATTCCTTGTGCTGGGCTACATAACGTTGTGCCGTCATCGAGAGACATTATGCAGGGACACAGTTCTTCTGTTTTTTTCCATTAGCAGCCAAAGACCACTGGTTCCTGAAGGTGGTATCCTGCCTACAGATGCAGGAACATGGCACCACCACTGTTCCTCCTGACATTTTTCATGCCACGCACTAGTGTTGTCTGCCTCTGTGTTAACTCTTTCTCTATCACTCACACACAGTTTGCACACACACAAAGATACAATCAGCATTCCCCTTGTCTTCTCTCTCTTTGATATTCCCCCTCCTCGCCGAATCCCGCTAGTGTTTCTCTAACCTTTCACAATCCTTCCCATGGCAATTCTTGATCTATCCTCCGGGTTTCCATATTCATGCCCTCAATTCTGTACCTTTACGAACATCTTTTTATCATTTCTCCAGGCTTTGTGTCCATCAGCAAGCTGAGGCCCTAAATGTCACATCTGGAGGCGTGACATAAACACACAATCCATGAAATGAAAACATATGTCAACGCAGTAAGGAGTCTTAGTACGGTCGGAAATATTCCTCCGACACGGTTTCCAGCATCTGAAAAACATTACAGTTTCCGTCTTTACGACCTTTCCTGAGTTGACCTTGACCGCTGAGACCGACAAAGCTATTTGTTTGCCAGACAGCTGGGGACCGTTGGCCCTCTGCAGTCTCCTTGGCTAGCTCCTTAGTTTATACATCCATCACAATGTTCTTGGAAGTGACAGGGAGAAGCTGTGGACGCCACGCATCGTTTCCTCCCTGAGTTATGAGGGGCAGGGGTGATGCCACCTTGACAAAAGGGTAGAGAGGATGGCAGCACTCCATAATTTATCGGAATACAGAATCCGATTAATCAGAGTGGCCTGTGATCTTGACCTTACATTTTTTCTCATCTTACTTAATTTACTAGGACTAGCTAGATCTACACAGCATGCAACTGAAATGTGTTTCTTTGTTTATGTGTGTCTTAAATTGGTGGGGTTAGGGTTCTAACTTTTACCTGAGGCTAAAGCTTTAGCTTTTACCGAAACATAATGCAAGTGGCCCATGGATTGTATAAAAGACTTTGCTATCATGATGTTTTAAAGCCTCTATCTTGGCATTTCATCCGTCGCCATCTTGTTTTTTTGGATCCAGAAGTGACCATATTTGGACGAGGGGTGGGAGTTAGCAAGGGTTAGCGTTAGCTTTGCCTCTTTCCTGGTTGCCTTTAAGAGACCTTTCAATTACAGGTAAGCCATGCCCTAAAGCATACATGACACTGTAGTGAAGAACACTATAAACAATGGAGAGTATAAAATATAGATAGAGTCTCTGTAACGTCACAAGGTTATACATTACATTGCATTTAGCTGACGCTTTTATCCAAAACGACTTACAATAAGTGTATTCGACCAGGAAGATACAAACTTGAAGAAAACAGAATCATATAAGTACATCAGGTTTCATAGATCCAAAACATTTCAAGTGCTACTCAACTGGCTTTAGATAAGCGTTGGGTGGGTGGCACAAGCCATCACCAATGTTATGCTTACTTAAATGGGCAAAATAAAAGTATCTTTTGTGGAGTTGAGGTATCAAAAATTAAAGTGCAAGATTGTGAACCACATTGGGTGACTTGTGAGAAGGGAAAGCTCCATGTTGTAGCAAAGTATACCCTTTTCCAATCCATCTTACTTTCCCTTCCGTCTTCATTCAAATCGGACCTGACTGCAGCACACGCTCACAAAGTGAGTTCAATCAGCCTTCATTAAAAGGATGCAGTGTCATCTGAATCATTCAATTGTAAGAATCACAATGGGCATTTACATGTTAATGATAAGGTGGAAGTGAGCATGTAGGGAGAGCCACAGAGTGCCTCACCCTTCAGTGAGCTAATGCAGATAAGTAACGGATGAAAGACATGGGAAATCCGAAGGGGAGAAAAGAACACAGTGTACTTGAATGCGCCTGATCATGTTTGGGTATGACCATCGAAAACACCTGTTTTTCTCACATTGTTTTCACCTGTGCTATGCAAGCACTTGATCATTTTCACCGTGGGACATGTTAACTCCCTCCCCTCTCTTTTTACTAGAGTCAAATCCTTCAGTCAAGCTGGTTTGGAGGGTCAACATTCCAGCCAGCGATAAGAGGCTATTGTTTCCTTCAGGCTGAGCAAGTTTCACTCAGCCAGTTTCATAACACAGGAAGTTAGGCAATATGTCCACTGAGGCGACTAATTCCTTGTATTCCACCTGCTAGCATTCACACACACATTATTAAGTAGATTAAAGCATAAGAGCCAAATTACTCAGGATGCTCTGTTGCCTCCATTACCCACTGGAGTACACTTGTGTTTTCATTACCAGTGTTACTGTTTATTAGAAGCCACGGTTTATTAATCAAACCCCCATCAAGGTATTGTGTTAACCTGCAGACATTTCATCATTATACAGTTGCACTCACACACCAGTTGTCAGCCATGCATTATGGATACCTGGATCTACCTGAGTTGGCCCCCCGTGTCTTAAATTATTCAGCCCACCAGACGTCCCGACAAGCTGTCAGTACAAGAGTGTGTCATTTATGCACCAAGACACATTGTAGCATCCATTCACCTCAGGTACCTCGTATCTAACATTGTGCAAAACAGCTCCAAGGACAGGAAACCACTTTCTTGCAAAGATAGAACACATTCAAGTAGAGCCTCCTGTGCTCATTCGGTAGCATAGCATGCTAGCAGTGCACAGCATGGATTGGACACAGAAGTAACACCTGGACAAGGTAATGCAAAACCATCCCTCTAATTTCAAAAATAAATATGTAGGTACCGCAGCAGCCATGTAGCTTAGCATAGGTAGAATAGCATAAAGACGATGGTACAACACTCAGTCTATTGGCAATTCTAAATCTCATAAACTGATTAACTAATGTTATTTCTCTTTTCTTAAATCTTACACAAAATTGCTAAAACTTGTTTTACTTGTGTGCAGGATACACGTTAGGTAGTATACAGTGAAACCGGTAAGAAAAAAACCATTAGTTTTACACTTTGGTTTTTGTCCTTACAATATATTGTTATATTGTTATATAAAAACAATATATAAAGTGTTGATTGGTGATCTTTAGAGGTGTTGGTAAGCGATTTGTGTCACTTTTGGACAGAACAAATCTAGCTGTTTTCCCCATTTCCAGTCTTTAAGCTAAGCTAAACTAAGCTAAGCTGACTGGCGTTAGCAACGTACTCACATACAGTACAGACATAAGAATGGTATCAATATTATACCATAGAGTTGATTCATCATTCGTGTGACAGTGTCAACAGAAACTCAATGTTTTGGCTGCTTAATGCATTACATTGTACAGGTGTTACTTTTTTTGGGTCCACCCTCTGTAAATGACAAAGCAGCAAGCTCAAAGCTGTGAAAGTCCATCCACCAAACAGATACAAGACTGAAAAGGCTCAACCAGCAAAAACAACATTTCAAAATGTTACCTTTTTTGTCTGTATCTGTGATAAACTATACCGGCGGCTATTGGCCTATAGGGAGAAAAAAACACAACAGTGTATAATATGTTCAATATTTGATAACTGTATTTCGGGACCTGTTATTGAGGGTAAGAATATTATTCTGAAGCTCCAAGAATACTGTAAAAAAAAGACTTTATGTTAGAGTATTCTGACTAATGGTAAAGTTCAGTCGTGTCATGGTGACTCCACATTCTCATAATGTACTTGTAACAACTGAATTTGATTAAAATGTGATTCTATTACATTCTAATCTATATTAAGTTCTAGACACAAAATAAACCGTTCATCAGTTCAACTTTGAAGAAGGACTATTAGTCGACTTTAAGAAGCAGGGTCAAATGATACTGTGTGTCTTGAATGCTGTGGGACAATGTGTAGCACAAATTGTAGCACTTAAGGGCTAATTATAAGGGATCATTTGGGATCCGTGACTCCAGCCTACACTCTCTGCCTACATAAAGATCTACTGGGAGATAATTGGGGTAAGATAAATCATTTCTTCTTTTCTTTTTTAAATAAAGGCTTTGATTAAAACTTTGAAATTCCAGCTTGCAATCAAATGAACAGAAAGATAACCAATGAATATTTTTATTAATAGATGTTTTACCAATTAATGAGCCATGTTTGACAAATGTACCCCCCAAAATATGACTCAGTTATACCTTTCACCGTCTGTGGTTGTATGTATGCAACACACTCCTATAGACTGACATGTGAACCCAATATGAACCAGGACCCTCCTTTCTCACACTCCCACCTCCACTCACTCAGCCCTCCATGTTTCACATTTGGGAGAAGTCAGAGCAAGGTCAACTTTGGGAGAGATGCTTTACTCTGTCGCTGTCACTCAATGCTTCTTTCCACTCCTTTTCCCCTTCCTCTCATCGCTGCTGCGCTCCCACAGTTCGCCTCCGGGGCTAACATCACTGCTAGCAACCGACTCCCCATGAATTAAACATGGTAAACATATTCTAAGACTAACAGGCTGTTGTGAGGAGGAGACTTCAAGGAGGCATCATGCAACCACTCTATCTCATCACAGCTGCCTATCACATGTTTTGGGTTGAGTTGGAGAGTTCAACAAGTGGTGTTAAGTGAGGGTTAGAAGATCAACAAGTAATGGTGTGGGCTGATATGCCATAGCATTTTATACTTGTTCTTTACCTGTGTGAGGAGCTTAGTGTTATCGTCCTCCAGGATCCGCACTTTAGACTCCAGCTGCCTGATGTAGTTGGTGGAGGAATCTAACGCACAGAAGGAGAAGAAAAAAAAGAGGGGTGGATAAGCGATTAGCATTTCAAAGACCTCAAAAGAAAAACTGGCCGACACGACCACTGGAGCAAAAGGACCACATAGAGCTGCTGTGCACTTTGAGAGACCCAATAAAACATGAGGGTTTAAAGTATTACATTGAAATATGTGCAATATCTTGTCTTGTTATTCAACAGTGAACTTTTTATTTGAAACTTCAGTAACTGAAATAATGATTTTGCAACCGAAAAAAACAACACGCATGTCTTATTATGCAGTTTGTTGTGCAAACTGTTGGTTATGAATTAGAATACTTGACAACGTGTCTAGTCTAAGTATCATAAGAGGTGAATAGGGGGGACTGAAAATAATTTCAGTATTAGAGTAGACCATTTTAACTTGACGACAAAACAAATAACCAGACAAATTGTATTTAGTCTGGTACACTGATGGTATTCAGTGCCTTGAGATAAAATACTAACATTAGCATGCAACATGTTTCTAGCATTCTGACGTTTAGTAGCGCAGCTTTAGCTAATGATGAAAGTCAATCGTGTTTTGCAAGTCATAAGCTAACATGTTATGGCAAATAAAGGTAACACTTATCAGAAAAATAATCCTGGTGGGAAGCCAACTACTTTATTACTTCATTATCACTCAATTGGTCATTTCCTATAATTCATTATTTTGGCCTTAAATGTCAGAAATGCCGATAAATGTGTTCCCAGAGAAAAGTCTTACATCGTTGTTGTTGCATGTTTTGAGCAACCAACGTCAAAAACACAATGTACCAAACACAGAAATACTGCACAATAATCATTAAGCCCTACGTTTCAACGGTTTAGCTTCTAAAAAAGTGGTAACTTCAACTAGATTTAATCTGTCAATCATAATGGCAGCTTGTACAAGGCCCTCATGTGCTATAAAAACGGGTCGTAAATTGGTGTCAGGGGTCAAGCACTGAGTGTTCCCACCCAGATTAGCAGTGCTTGACCTAACTTTTGACCCCTATTGGAGTGGGGCCATTTCCCAGCTTGGCACACATTCTCCTGTTCCACTCATTCATTGCGAAACACACATGAATGCCACATTTGAGATTTGTTCCAAAACTGTCTCTGCACTGTATACGTATAGACCTGAAAAACAATGCAACTGCAGCCCTAATTGCTCTGCAGAGATTCCCTCAGCTGTTATGTCTGCGTTAACATGAATCAACGGCGCTGAGTTCAAACCAGGGACAGGAAGCGTATGAAGTGCGGAGGTGCAGTTTGACTCAGTAGGTGGCACAGAGCCTGTTATCTAAAAAGGCATGTTTAATTTACAGTAGGATCAAAGCCGAGGTAGAGCACCTAGGCAACTCGTCGGGACTGCGCACATTATTTAGTTTGCTAAGTGGAAGTACAGAGAGACAGGCAGCGGAGATAGAAAAAAGACAACAGGGAGGTTGATGATGAATATGCTGTGTTGAGTTAAGTCCCAGATAAGAAGCCATCATTTTAGGATACTGCACACACATGCATTAAATCACAGCTTGTTGCACTGGTGACCAACTCTGTCTTTAGTTTGTTTGTTTATAACTCACCCTGATTAGTCTGTGTAATTCATGTAACCTGGTGTATCTGCACTTTGCAACCAGGGGGCGCTAATCTGCAGACACATAGTTAAATACAGACAGTGCAGTCTAGATTCTGAAGATGTCCAGTCACAGATATTAGCTTTACCTTTGTTTCACACATAGGTCAACTTGGGGTATGTTGAACCACACTAAGTATGGAATGCACTAATGGAAAACCAGTATCTCTTTTAGAGTAGGTTACAGATATTAAGCAATTTGAAGGCTAAGGCAGGCGGTTACTAACGATGACATCAAATATTAACAAATGTCATAAAACATTTTGAAAACATTGATGTGATGTCTTTAGATTTCTTGTTTTGTTAGTCGAGACCTTAAGATATTTACTAAACTAATAATAAAAAAAGCATGAAATCTCCAGGAGAGCCAGAAAAGGGAAATGTCTGTTGGCATTCAAAAATAACATACTTGATTTAATAAAATGTAATCATCTATCAAAAATTGTTGGCAACTTGCTCAGTCGACTAACCTTTGCAGTTGTAATGGCACAACATATTTTCACATGAACAACATTGATTGGTTCTCTAAAACCTGGTTGTAAACTGGATTGAATGAGAGCAGCCCCAGCAAGCCTATCTAAGTCCAGCCCCTTTGATTCTATAGGCAGGGCAGACAGTGCTGACAGATGGACAGCTAATGGAGCAGGCTGCAGCGGCCAGAGCTGGTAGTGTTAATCCTCTCTTCCTGCCTTGTGACCCCCCCTAATCTGGATTCATCTGCTGGCCTGACCTGCAGCCAGATCTCAAGCCGATTAGGATGAAGGTTCCTCGGCCATCACTCACCACCAGCACACTCAAACAACAAAGGAAGAAGCCTCAGAGAGAGAGGGGGGAGGAATAGAAAATACATGTTCATCTCTTTGTTTCTTTGTGGTGTGTATATTTAGATTATTCAGAGATTGAGATCTCGTCGTCAGTAATCCAATAAACTCAAAAGTCACCCGAGTCTGTCTGGCTTATATTTGATCTCTTTAGGATGAATTAGACCAAAAAAAAATCAAGATAAGGGATAAAAATAAATATGACGTATAGCTAAGGCGGAGAGAGGAAATCCCACTGTGAGGAGAAGAGTCCTCACATACCGATACACCATCTCTCCCTTCTTCTATAAGCCTTTGATACATTATAGGGTGGTAACGTTAAATCTCAGAGCGCATCCCTTCAACATCACACATGACATGATTAAGAGGTCATGCCTAAAGATCTGCCGTGGGAACATCCGCGGGACAACACACACACAATGCCAGGCTACCACACACACACACACACACACTGTTTGCATGCACAGAGCCGGGAGGGAGAATCCAGACGTCACCGTCTCTTTAACACCCGGCTCCAGACAGCTATCCTGGTGGGAGTGGGGTCAGGCAATTAAACTGTTCCCTCAGCTCCCCCCTTGCAACTCCTCCACCCTTTTTATCCCTTCCATCCCTACAGCTTCTCCACACTGCTCCTCCGTGAGGCTGGAGGGAAAAAAGCTACAGATCATACAGGGATCGCATAGCAAAATAATTACCCTGCAAAACTCAGCTCTGCAGCCACTGTTTTGTACACAACAAGCACCCGGGGAGAGGCCGCTATTATTTATGCATAACCTGAATGCGATCTTTAAGGCTGATAAAGTGAGTGCGAGGCGCGGGGAAGCAGGAAAGTAAAAGTGCAAGCAGTAAACAATGCAGAGAGAGAAGGGGAAACGTGTCCTCACAGAGCACTACTAAGCATTTTTATTTTTAACCTCCGCACAAGTGTTGTTTACCAAATGAATTGAGCCAATGTAGCGTTAAGTGTGTGTGTGTGCAGGACAAAAGGTGACGCAGACATTGGCGCGAGTGCGTCCCCCCGCTCAGCACGTCACTTTGCATCACGTCAGTGGCGCTGTGACCCACTTCCAGCAGCCACTCCTTCATCAACTCTGCTCCACTCCACTCCCTATTTTCCCTCTCGTTCTGTTTTATTACATTTGTCGTTACCTTCCCTGCCCATTGTATTTATGAACTGCTCTATGGAAGTCTACAGATGTTTTGTTAACCTAGTTTTATTTCTAAAGGGGGGCTGGTTCTCATTACTTTTACCGGATTAGCTACATTTACCAACAACTTGGTGCAGTCCTCTAAAGGCCATGACCCCAACTGGTTCCTCTTTGTGTCCCACTGTGCCACAAACATCCCATCCCCATCTGTCCATTACAACTCATTTTGACTCGGCATCATACCACGGTTACTCAGCATTACACGATGTGCATGTTAGGCAAACTGTGCGCTTGGAATAGAGCACAGTTCTTAATCCCAAATGCAAAAAGATTACTGCTTTAACAAAAAATGTCTAAGAAGTCTTTGCAAACGTAGTTTCTTTAAAGATTTGCATCATTAGCATTAAAGTATATTCTTGACCTCAGAAAAAAAAGTAGTAGTAGGCCCAATTCTGTGGGGTCCACTAGCTTTTTCCAGAGCATTGTACTGTATATTCATCAGCAGTTGTCATGTATAGGAAATGTAATCTGTGATCTGCTTTGGTTGAAAGACCAGAAAAGCCAGTGGTTGGTCCTTGAGTTGGGATAGTGTTCCAAAATCTACATCATTTAAGCACCAAAGCAATATGTTTTCAAGTATAAGCTCCTTAACTACATGCATGCTGTACAGTTCTAGATTTTGGGGGATTTCTTTCTTTTCCAAAAATCTAGGCAGCAATTGATTTTTCTTGATTTCCAATCTAGTTTCACTGCAATGGGCTCTTGAAAGTTGCTTAAACTGTATTATCAAAACAGTGAACATCAAGTATGCATTCATTTCTGTCACATTGTTGTTTCTTAGTAATGTGGTTTAACTTTGCAATGAAATAATCCATAACAAGGTCTTCATGTTCTGATGGATTACACGACTCCACCAAGAGTCTGCCAATAGACTTAAAAGATAAATCTTGTATTTTTTTTAAATGTTCAATTTATATCTTACAGATCTTATAATAACACCAAAACAAACAATGAACTGTGTAGCCAAAGCTTCATATTCCTCTGTGCTATAGACCTTTTTCAAAATCTATAAACAAATGAGCTCCACTGAGTAACATGCTTCTTCATGACATTGAACATGAGCACTGTAGTTTATGTTACACGCAGATACACGCTTTACAACATCAGGAGGATACGTCCCCAGCTGACCCAGAAAGCGACGCAGGTTCTGGTCCAGGCTCTCGTCACCTCACGCCTAGACTACTGCAACTCCCTCCTGGCTGGTCTACCTGCATGTGCCATCCGACCTCTGCAGCTCATCCAGAATGCAGCGGCTCGCCTGGTCTTCAACCTTCCTAAATTTTCCCACACTACTCCGCTCCTCCGCTGCCTTCACTGGCTTCCGGTAACTGC